TTTTTTTTTTTTTTTTTTTTTTTTTTTTTAACATATATGTATATATTGGATAGGATTTTTGCGTACTAAAAAATAAATTTCTCATTTTCAATGATAAAAATAAACATTCATTAAAAAAATAATATTATAAATAGCCTATAATTATTGTTTTTATGACAAATTCTGTAAAGTAAATTCTTCCAATTATATTATATGCTTTATTATTTTCATAGAAATATATTTTATTTTTATTTTTACGCAAATATCAAAAGTTTTATCTTCAATCGACCCAATCATTCTAATAAAAAAATCATTTAACTTTCAAGCATTAGGCTATAAATAATTTATGTAAACCTCTTAATGCGCACGCGCATGTAATTAAATAGTTTAGATTTCTTTGTGAAAATTGATAATGATGGGTACCAGTTGTGTAAATTAAAGCATCCCACGGTATCAGGTCACGTAGACAAAACATTTTCATATTTAATAAACAGCATTCTCTGTCATTGTCACTGAATTCGTAAATAATATTCCACCCTAGTGGGCCAAACTTTTTTCGCTCTTGTATGATAGCATGGAAGAAGCAGACCCCAAAGATCATTCGGCGCCAATTATTTCCCAATTCTAATTTGCCAAATATATATATGCTAATTAATATTAATTATACATAATATTATAAGTATTAAAATTTTCCCAAATATACCTTCAATTACGGTTTAATTCAATTCATAAGTCATAAGTTTCGAACGCGTCTCAATTAATAACTTAACATTATTAGAGATTCTGTCAATTTTGTAATTTTTTCATTTCTGTCAAAATTTCTCGGCTTTTTAAAGGTCAATTATTTATAAAATATGCATTATAATTGAGGTTGAGCCTCCCGTTTAGTGAGTTGCAAAACTTCCAGGAGATTTAAAGTCATAAAAACTAACCATTTTCCTCGAAGAATTCATCCTGGAGCTCGTAAAAGGCTCTATTGACATTGGCTTTGAGTCCTTTTGGCGGCTCATTGGTGACTTTCACGGAATTTTGAAGCACCGACACGGGGAATCCAGGATTTGGCATCGAGCTTAAATACAATCGGAAATCATCGTGAACCTTGTCCGGATTCTCAATTATCCAGATTACCAGAGACTCGAGGGAGAGCATCCAGGAGGTCGCAAGATGACAGTTCTGCAAGAAGATCCACTCGCCTAATTGGCAGCCCCTTTTTATGAGAGCCTCGGCTATAGGACCCTGACCTTGACCTAGAGATATCGACTGGTATCTGTAAGCACGAGGGGCAACGTTAAATAGCTTAATTTCTCTTAAAAGCATTAATTACCAAAGTGAGCATTAATTAGCATTGCATTTGACAATGTCGTTGAGGACGACGTGTCCTTTTGCGGTTAAATAAGAAATTTTTCATACTTTTCCGTAAACTCCATGTCGCGGGCAAATTTTAAAAAGCCGCTGAAAGGATCCGAGCCTGTGCTCAAAACAAAAACTAAAGGAGTAATTTTTGATGTATCCGTGTACCTTAAACGAAAAATAAATCATTGGGATAATTCTCGTGAAAACTTTTTGTAGAAGAAAAAAAGTCGAATGTAATTTAAAATGAAATTAATTAAGGCGATTCTTATAATTAATATATTCTAACTTAAATTATAATTTAAGCTTGTGTTTTTTGTTTTTTTTTGTTTTTTTTTTTTATTTTTTTTTGTTTTTTTTTTTGTTTTTTTTTGTTTGTTTTTGTTTTTTGTTTTGTTTATAGGCCATACTATTTAAGCTTGAATACTTACAAATCTTGTAATGATATTATTGGAGATTCAACAAATTTTTGGCCAAGATTTTTTTTCACATACGCCGTTATTCCAAAGATCAATTTCTCTTCTTTCAGAGCTTTAAGTAGCATTAACTTTTCAATGTCCGTTAAAATCTCATCCCAATTATGTTGGACCTTCTCTTTATTATCAGGTAAAACATTAATGATCTATTTTAACATTTATTACAATAATATAGTAAAAGTGTTGATTAGTTATTGATATCGAAAGGAGAAGACAAATTTCAAGTTACTTCTTTATATTCTTCGATTGTCACTGTGATGATTTTAAACATGTCCTTCTTAAGATGTTCAAAGTTCTTGAATTTGTGTGACAGATAATTTGCCGAATTCCACATTGAATCAGTAAGGGTTGAATAATCCGGTTTTTTCTCCTTTTACGCGTACAGATATGACAAAAATTTTAGTAGAATATTGATAATTTTGGTAGAAATTTGCAAATAATTAATAAGCCAGAATTGTTATTGGATTAAATTATATCCAAGAAATTACATTCTTGGCAATCGATGATTGAAGAACGAAAATTGTCTAGAGGCATGGTAAAGTTAGATGAAAGACTTTAAAGTTAAAATTAATTAAGATTGGCCGTATTAATTAGGAAATATATGGTTTTCGTATTAGTCGAATAGTAGTTTCTTTCGTTGCCCTCTGGCGTTATTAAGGACAATTCGATTTCAGATATAATAATACGAAAGGGAAGTATACGTACGATTTTTATTTGGTCAGGTCCGCGCAGAAGGAAATTCCATTGTGAAATACTGATTATATTGTCGTTAAGCAGTATTGCTATGTTCGTCATAAAACTAAAGACAATTTTGTGCTTTTCAAATAATCCACGCGACACGTTCGTATAGATCGACAATGTTATTTCGTCATAAAGTATTCGCAAACGAGTTTGCAAATCGGATGATTGTTCACTCGTTTCTATTACATTGTTTATTATCTGCAATAAATATTGAATAGCTATTAATCAATAAATTAATTATCTTAATAATCACAGCGGGGAACGTTATTATATTTAATCATGACATTGATGAAATGGCGGAGGGGAGCGGCGAGGGGGTAGCGGCGAGGGGGTAACTGCGAAGTTGTAGGGGCGGGAGGCGGGGAGGGGGGGGCTGGGAGCGGTGATCTTAAAGAAGCCAATAAAGGCATTGGTTATAAGGAAGTCAGAGTCGTGTGCTTTTTTCTTCTTTTTTTGTTTTCTTTTGTTTTTTTTTATTTTTAATGATGTGCTTGCGTCGGGTGGCTACTGTCACGCACCTCTTTCTTTTTCGCGCTATTGTTGCTATAGACGGCCAACGCGAATTATCCCATATGGCTGCCGTGCTAAAGTCAGCCATCTTCTATAATAATTCCATCGAAATGTTCTTTTTTTAAGCGCGAGACGCATAGGTTGAAAAACAAAAATATCGATATCATGATTTGACTTGTGCACGCTTAATTAATTAATAATCGCCCGTAATAAGAGCGCTATTGGACATTGCGAGTGAGCGGGGGGGGGGGGG